ATTTTTTGAACATTCTGGGATATTCATAGAATATCAAATGCTATCTGGGAAAGGTAGATGACGTAGCAAGACACATAGCCAGCTTGAAGTGGCGATGGTCCGGGCACATAACAATAATTCAGGACAACAGATGGACAAAGAAGGTGACTGTATAGAGAGGCCACGACAAGGTAAAAGAAATAGAGGCAGACCGAGAGCCAGATGGATAGACGACATAGACAAATCTGCAGGAAAACTATGGTCACGACACGCTGAGCATCATGATAATGATGATCATAATGATGAAAAAAATGTATTCGGATAATATGGTTCTCCTTATTCTTTTTCTTCCTCTTTATATAGGCGCATCGCCTGTTTCGTGCCGGTTTCTTTGAAGCAGTTCTTGCGAAGTTAATTGCCATCTATCTTGCCATCATTCTGGTGGTGGTCCTACAGGTCTTCTTCCATGTGGTGTGTTGTTTCTTACCATCTTGGCTATTCTGCCGGGACTCGGGACTCAGTCTCTTGACATGCTGCTCTTGACATGCTGCCATTCTCTTCGTCTATTCCTTGTCCATCTGACTACGTCGTCGGTTTGGCACCTTTCTCTTATGTTTGTATTTCTTTGCCTATCGTTTAGTGTGTGTCCTGTTACTGCTCTTAGGGTCTTCATCTCGATTGTTCTTAATATCCTCTTTGTTAGTGAAGTTTCAGCTCTTGTTTCCGCACCATATGTCATCACCGGCCGTACACATATTTTGTATATTTTCCATTTGCAATTTATGCTTAAGTGTTTGTTTTTCCAGATTGGATATCTAAGATGCCCTACCACATCATTCTGTTGTAAATATACACGTATAAATGATGCGCGATAGCGTCCAGTAGTGTCATGTTGTCCTTTTGACATGGGTGTGGCGATAAATATATGTTTTCTTTGTTTTGTAACCTTTAATATATACGTGCAACGTCTCCGTAAATAAAGTTCATTGATACAGTTTTGCTCTGCTTTTTCTTCCACATCGGCTATTAAACAAAGAACCCACCATGAACCCAACACCAAAATGTTTAAAAATATGAACAAAAAATAGTTTGTTAGATTTTGAGTTAAATGGCGATAATACAAACATACCAAGCGGAAAGTTATCTGTTAGGAAAAATGAACTGCATTGGCCAAAGAGGATAGGAAATTCAAGTTGTGTTCTTTGTGCTTCATTTTATAAACTTACAACAATTTCCGTAATCAAAGTTTCCATTGATACATTGTCAGCAAAATAGCACTTGATCAAGTCCAACAAGTAATCGTTCAATTCTTGTTGCTTTTGCAATGCAAGTCTTAGTCGGTTCTGGTGGATTGCTGCACCCATCCAACCAGACACTACAATTGATATCTTCAGATCGTCCTTACTAAATGGTGCTTCTGGTACACATCGATACATTTCGACTATAGCGTAGCAATCACCGTCGGTTGTGACTATTGGTACGCAAAGTACCGATTTGACCATATCATCTGAAATTTAGCAATATTTCGTTCAAGGATAAATTAGAATTTTTGCAAATAGGAACTATTATTTATCTATTACTTAATGCACTCTCACACGCGATTGTGACGTTTGAGGACACTCAATGATCTAATGTAATTTCCTCTTCAAAACCCAAATACCTAGATACAGATAAACACAAAAATATTCGGACAGCTCGCGCTAAGATTAATTTTTCCATAAATTTTAATTATATATTATTTAATTTTCAAAATTGATTGGTTAAACATAATATCTGGCACATTTCGTCTTAAATAACGGAATAACGAGTTGGAAAATAGTTTATTAACAAAGTAACCAAATGTAAAAGGCATAACTGCAGTTTTATTGCTTCACAAGAATATTCGGACTTTTATTTCAGTTTGTTAATTTGGAACAGTTAGACCATTAAAACTAAATACTATTATTTGGTGTGGTTTTTTTCCTTTTTGTTCTAACATGAGCAAAGGGGACCGAAATTCTTTCTTTTCGGTTTTGATGTTATTCGCCGCTGATATATTTCTAGTGTTTGCGTTTGCGTACCAAGTGTGTTTGGACTGAATAAGTACGTAATGTTAAAATGAAATACAATGTATAACAATAATTTAAGTTCACCTACTATTATGGCCTTAACTCAAAAACTAACAAACCAAAAGTACATACGGTACATATGACCAGTAAACTTGCGGCAAAATGTGATTTAGACAACTTTTCAACACATAATAATTTATTTTTCAAATGTACGGATTTTTAGGCTGAAACAATGTTTTGGGTTCACTTGTAAAAATTCCCGAACGCTGAGAAAGCCGCCCAGATCATTACCGAACCACCACCAAAATTTCGCTTCAAAAAGTAGCATGTATCCAAGTTAAATTTCTTCTCATCGGAGCACACAATCTGTAAAAGACAACTAATTCTAGCTACTAACTGAACCCTAAGAATATACCGAGTCCATTGCGATGTCCACCTTTAATAGTGATCGGCAAATTGTGCTCTTAGAAGCTGACGAGTTCATGTGACACATTTGGAGCAATTTCTTTCTGCAGCCGCCGGGTTTCTTTCGTTGAATTTGCTGCTGCAGCTCTAATCTTTCTTTTTTCGCTTGCCGAGACAATTGGGATTCTCCCCGGACCATTCTTCTTTCCGTATTCATCACCTAATCGGAACAAATTGTTCACAACGTTAAGAGAACGGCCAATTTGCCGAGCAATTTCACGATGGGTCATTCCAACTTGTTTATAAGCTGTGCTCCACCTTTCTCCTCGTCATTTAATGCTTTTGCCTTTCTATGATCTAACAACGTACAAATAACACGATAAAACAAAAAAATTCAGGACAAAACATAATAAACTTACGATTTTTACAAGTGAGCCTAAATTATTGCTAGGCTCCATACCACAAATCCATACATTTGAGAAAACAACATTGTGTGTTTGAAAGAAAAGCTGTTTACATCACATTTCGCCACAAGCTCACTGGTCATATGTACCTACCCTATTTCCTAAAAACATGAGCTCATTTGGTTTGGTAGTTTTTGAGTTAAGGCCGAAAAAGTGCGTGAACCTAAATCACTGTACTACAAGAACAAGTACCATAAAATCTATGTTTTATAAAAACAGACATTGAATTGATTGATTCTTACTCCCATGCGATTAATAAGCGCTTAACTAAACACCTTGATAATGAGGCCGTAATATCATTCACTTTCAATTTTTGGAACAAAACTGCATAACAGAAGTAGAAAATGCAATCGAAAATAATGAAAAGATGAGATGCCTACAGAGGAACAACGGCAGGAAAGAGTTAATAGCCCTAAAAGACTCCATGCACCGGAAAACCAGAAATACTAAATATCACCAAGGAATTTTACCAAGACCTATACACCTCACAAATAACGAAACGAGAAACGACTAAATTTAAGAACCTGAGAAATGTGGGTCGGACGACATCCCCGAAATAACAGAGGAGAAAATACAACATGCTCTTAAAACATCAAAATATAGCAGGGCCGCTGGAGGCGACGGCATAGTAATAAAAATGATCAAGGAGGCAGAAGAAACAATCATCCCCAAGCTAAAGAAACTTTTCAACACTTGCTTTAAAACCCAAGAAATACCTGAAACCTGGAAGGAATCCATAATCATCCTACTCTGCAAGAAAGGAGACCCAAAACTTCTTCTGAATTATTCGCCAATTCGTTTGCTTTAACACATCTAAAAATTGTTCACGAGAATCATCGTTAACAGAATCAGTAGCAAACTCGATGACTATCAACTTGTAGAACAGGCGGCATTTGGAAAGGGCTTCAGTACATGCGATCATCTTTTTACCTTCAAAATCCTAAATGAGAAAATGACAACATGCCATTATACACAGCCTTCATAGGTTACGAGAAGGTCTTCGATTCTATCGAACATTGGGCAATACTGGAAGAGATTCATAAAAACGCGAAAGCGGCAGTGAGAATACACGAAACAAGAGATTCCTTCCAAGGAGAATCAAACAGGGCGACACAATCTCGCCCAAACTGTTTGCGCTGGCCCTAGAAGGAATGTTGAAGAAGGTAGACTGGTCAGAAAAGGGAGTCATCATCGACGGCGAGAGATTAACACATCTCAGACGCGCAGACGACATAGTCTTATTAGCTAACAACACTGAACACCAGGAAAAAATGATTACAGATCTGAGCCAAAAATCAAAGGAAATAGGCCTCAAAATTAATATGAATCAAACCAAAACTATGTGTCCGGTGGATCCCAATATCATAATAGACAACAACAAAAAAGATAATGTAAAGGACTATACATACTTAGCCCAACGAATAACTCTTGGAAAGGAAAACAAATATATCGAGATCGAAAGGAGAATTAGATTAGGAGGAGCGGATTTCGCAAAACTAAAAAAATATACTCAACAACAAAAAATACCCCTGTATCTGCGATCAAAACTTTACGACCAATGCGTATCGCCAGTAACCACATACGACGCTCAAACATGGACCTTTACAGGGCAAATAGTGAACACGCTTAGGGCCGGTTGCACAATCCAAGTTCACCGACAGTTTAGCGGTGAACGTGGTTCAACGAAAATTTTCGGTTGGCCCAGTGGCGTTCAAGCCTGAACGGCAGATCAAATCCCAGTTCAGCTGAACGACTGAAATCGGCCGTTCAACCGTGGTTCAGTGCCGAGACTGTCATATTATAACCTAAATGTGTTTACGGTGTTAATTTTATGTTTACATAACATARGTGTTTGTAAATATTACATATTTTTTKTGTGAAAATGGACCTGTTGGGTGAACTAACAGACGATGAAKACGTTCAGGAACTCCTAGGAACATTTTTAAATACAAGATCACCAGCATATATAGGGAGCGACCAAATCATTTTAAATTTAGATTTAGATTATCGAAAGCAGTTACGAAGATCGTAGTAGAGAAAACAAAAAAATATATTTTATTATGGTTTGCATCTGTTTTTCTTTACACTCGATATGTGCTTTACGCCAGCAAAATATTAAATGGATTAAGCCAGCAAAATATTTTCTTCTTTCGACTTAAAATTCGTAGACCGGGAGGATTTCGTAATGGCTTCCATAATGCAAAGGTTTCACTGAATCTACTGAACTAAAGAAAAATATATTTTAACGCTCCAATCAATTCAGTATCAGACCATGTGGATGTGGTTCAGTTCAAATATGCTGGCCTGACAACATAGTTACCAATCAAAGAAAACCAAATATACCCCATTTTACCCACATTGGAAAGTGCTAACCCTAGGAAAAAATTGAATAATCGAGTTCAACGGTGACTCACGGTTCAGTTGAACCATCGTTGAACTTGCTTTTGTGCAACCGGGCCTTAGATTATCCTAATGAAATATAGAAAGAAGAATATTAGGCGTTTCTCTGCGTGACAAAAAACGAAACGAGTTAATTAGAAGCAAGTCTAAAATAGCAGATATAATAGACCGGGCAGCACAACTGAAATGGGACTACGCGGGACATATCGCCCGAATAAAGGATAACAGGTGCAATGAAAGAGTGTGGCGATGGAGGCCATGGACCGGCAGAAGAGCGAGAGGAAGACCTATCACACGTTGGTACGACGACATAAAAAAGGTGGCAGAACTTCCATGGATGAGAATTGCCCAGAATAGAACAAAATGGAAAGAACTAAGGGAGACCGATGTCCAATTCCGGACGAAGAACGGCTAGAAGCAGAGAGAAGAGAATATCATTCATAATATTGAATAGTCCTCGTTGAAATAAGTTTCAGTTTCAGAAATTCATAACACTCTTGCTACGTAAGTTTTTTTGTTGCATGGAGGATCAATTTACTGATAAAATCTCGCAAAATAGGCTAGTAGGTATTTGGTAAATAGCAAATAGAAATATTTTTATATTAGAAAATACTAAGAACTTGTAAACCTTAGAGCTCGTTTACACGCTCAAGCAAATCGTTACGTGTAAACGCAGATCTGAAGTTTGCGCAAACCGAAAAATTTGGTTTGAGTAAAATCTATCCTAACTAGGGACGATACGATACTTACTCAAATGAGTAGTAACCGAATCATCTTGCAATACTACTCATATGAGTATTCTGAAAGTATCGATACTTACTCAAATGAGTAGTAACCAAATCGCCTTGCAATACTGCTCATATCAGTATTCTGAAAGTATCGAAACCATTACCTGCTCACAATTTTATTGACTGACTCGATATTGAGTGACTACGTATAATCGTCATAAAGACATTTTAAGTATACATTTTCGATGAGTTTTTCAAGGCCGAAATTAACTGTTACCGTGAATTTTAACTGTCAAACGTAAGAATTTGTAATAAAATTTATGGAATATATTTTAATGCATTTATTGCCATCCGGTAAACAAAAAATATGCTTCCTGAAAGTTTCCCAAAAAAATCAGTTGCTGCAAATATTTAGGGGACAAGCCTTTTCTATTGTGCGCCATAGCAGCACCAGCTTTAGGA